GGACTAACTTGTGCACCAGTCGCACCAAAGTGGCTCTAGCAGTCCTCAATTTAATTATAACTACACTGTTAGGCCCTGGAAGTGTCTCTATTATCCTGGCAAGCCACCACTCCTGCAGTGAAACATCCTTTCCATGCAGAATTACAAACGTTCTCTCCTTTAAATTTTCCCCATTAGTATACCACTTATTGGAGATCCGGCTTGGAGGAGAGGTCTGATGTGAAGATCCGGCCTTGAGGATGGGCCTTACGTTTTCTTCTGGCTGGGGGACCGACGCCTTGGCCCTAAATAGACCATGATGATCCTGGGAGCTGGATCAGATTACCTCGGATCAGCAGATGCAGCGATGACATCTACCAACTACACCACTTCATATACTATAGGTAACTTTTATTCCCAAAAATTAATTTTAAAGATGTTAGAATATTTCATGGCAATATAAATTCTCAAAACAGTCCATCTGAAATCATGCCTCCACAATTAATTATTAAATTCATTGATTCTTGTAACTATAATTTGTAATTCTTGTAAATATAATTTGTATATATTCTTTATTAAAAATAGAAATAAATTAAGTTTGTTAGTAAAAGTTATTTTGATCATGCCACCTATTTATATCATTATAATCACAGGTAAATGTAGGTAATTAGAAAGCACGATAAACACACGAAATCCAAATGAAAAGAAATCCAATTAATTAATCATGGACCAAATATGTTAAAGAACCAAATTTATCTTACTATAAATATTAATTATCTTTTATTACTTATTTCTTATTAAATAATTCTGGATAATTATCATCAATAATTACCCAGTGGCATCCCGATAAATTTTAAAACCCCAAAAGGTAACATATCAGTGTTCATTATACCATCTCTACCAAAAATTACGAAGAGTCTTAGAAATAATCTCCCAACGGCTTGTCAAAGGAAACACAGGTGCGTCTTCTTGTTCTAGTCTGGCTAGGAGGGGTTTACCTATAAGAATGCTCCCTGGAGTGAGGTAATCCAGGTTATCCGATGGCTGACTGCTGATGTTGCAGATAGGACGGAAATTGAGAACGGCTTCAATTCGTACAAGAAGAGTATAAAATTCCTCATAAGTCAACGCATGATCCTGGAGAATGCCAAGAAGGTGTCTCTTAGCAGATTTAATAGCTGCCTCCCAAGTAACACCGAAATGAAGAGATATTGGAAGAGAAAAGGTCCACTTTATACCCGTCTTACCGAAATAGTCAGAAATGGGTTCGCTCTGGCCCTTGACAAATTGATTTTGTTAGCTTCTCCAGGACACCCAACTCTCAGATAAATCACACACCCGTAACCCCTCTCGGAAGCGTCTGAACACCTTCATACTGGCCAACCGATCCAAACCGTAATCCTGACCTCCTTGACTTCTTTATTCACAAAGCTAAACTACTCAGTTTTACGGCTCGATGACCTTCCCTTAGACCACAGTCCGCTAAACCTAACCCTTTCCGCATTTCCTATCCCCCGATTATCCCCTCCTTCGTTCATCAGAGGCACAGTCAACTGGAACCTTTTCCGCCAAACAATAATAGAAACAATAGACCAAACAGTATCAATAAAATCCCCTCAAGACCTAGATAATGCAGTGAGTTCCTTCACCACTTTGATCCAACAAGCAGTCTGGACTGCATCCTCACCACTCCCCTCCAAGAATCCTTTACGGATTACTTTAAAAAGAATCTTTTACCCCAAAACCTTACTGACCTCATCAAACCCAAACGCCAATCTAGGACACTCTGGCAAAGAACCAGGCATCCTGATGATCGGAAATTATACAATTATTATTCCAAACAGGTTAAAAAAGAACTGGCTTATTTTAGGTCCAAATCCTACAATTCCGACCTTTCTTCCCTCTCCACCGAAGACAACTCCCTCTGAAAATTAACCAGAAAGATCCTTAAATACCACTCTATTTCCCATCCCCTCCGATGCGATGATGGAACCTGGGCTTCTTCAGATGAGACTAGAGCTAAAGTATTTGCCAAACACCTATCCAACACATTTACTCTTCACCCTGAACACCCAATCCCATCTACACTATTAAAGTTAAAAAATTCCTTTCTTCTCCGATTTCTCTCTGCTTGCCTCCTAAAGCAGTCAACCCCTCTGAGGTCAAATTCCTTATCAACAACCTAAAACTCCAAAAATCGCCTGGACACGATCTCCTTACTTCCCAGATCCTTAGACAACTTTCCAAAAAAGCAATTATATTCTTCACAAGCCTATACAACTGTATATTCCGTACATCTCTTTTTCCTCTGATTTGGAAACACTCCATAATCACCTTCTTCCCTAAACCAGGTAAACCTGTTAATAATACCTCATCCTATAGACTAATAAGCTTACTCACGATCCTCTCAAGAATCTTTGACAAAATCCTTCTCAAACGTATCCTACCCATTCTCGAAACCCACAATATCTCTTCCCATCAGTTTGGATTCCGCTCAAGACATTTCACTGTTCAACAAGGCCTTCGCAGTATTGACCACATATCCTCTGCCCTTGAAAACAAGCAATATTACACTAGTGCCTTTCTGGACGTAGCGCAAGCTTTTTACCGAGTGTGGCACAATGGCTTGCTTTTCAAGCTCAAAACCCACTTACCCCAATCCTTATACCTAGTCCTCAAATCCTACCTTTCAAATCATTCCTTCCAAGTCCGCTGTGGCATCAAATTCTCCAATTATTATCCAGTTAAGGCTGGTGTTCCACAAGACAGTGTCTTAGGCCCAGTTCTCTACATTCTTTTCACAGCTGACATACCAACCCATCCTGATTCCCTTCTAGCCACATTTGCTGACGATACCGCCATCCTATCATCCCACCCAGACCCTGAAACAGCATCCCTAAACCTTCAAATACACATCTCCCTAATTGAGCAATGGTGCAACAATTGGCGCATCAAGATCAATGAATCCAAATGCACCTTTACCCTCCCACGCAGATCCTGTCCACATATCCTTTACAACTCAGTACCTCTTCCCATCTCAGTTCGGTATCTTGGATTCCTTTTAGACAAAAGACTAACATGGAACCCACATACCAGACTTAAAAGACAAGAGCTTAACCATCGACTTGGCCAGTTATACAGACTACTTAACAGAAAATCTTACCTCTCAATTGAAAACAAACTATTAATATACAAGACCATACTGAAACCCATCTGGACCTACATAATTGAACTGTGGGGGAAAACTAAATTTTCGAACATCAAACGCAACCAATCATTAGTACAATAGTAAATGTTCCTTATTATGTTACAAACAAAACTCTACATCATGATCTTAACATCACTTATGTCCTTGACGTTATTCCATCCCGTTTCTCAAATTTTCATCAAAACTTGATCCATCATCCTAATCCCTTAGCACAATCCTTATCCCACCCCAGCCATCCCTATAATCCTAGCCGAAGGTTAAAAAGGCAGTGGCCTCGAGATCTTTTGTAAATACGTCATTGGAGTCCTGGCAATGGCCAGCTTCTCCACTCAATTCATGGCTTTAGTGCCCTTTCTCAGTCTCCACTGAATCCTCATCTCAGTGATGCGGCTAAGAGAGAAGCGCTGGGATCTCTTAGAGTCTGGCCTTATCTTCCACACTTGGGTTAAAGGGCCCGACTTGGAGCTCTCTCGGCTGACTGTAAATATTTTAAATAAGCATGATGTTTTTTTTTTTCTTATTTATTATTTTTTTTTTAATTTGTGTTGTATCATATTTTATTTCATCTGTTTTACTAAGCTTTCTTTTTCTTATTTTTGTCATAATTTCTATTATGTTTGCATAAATGAGTTTCTTATATCTCAAATACTCAATGCCCTTGATTGAGGCAAAATGTATTTTTTCTCAATAAAAAAAAAAAAAAAAACTATTTTAGCAGGTCCTCTTCTGGGTTTAGAATTACTTCTGGGTTTCGCAGTTAACCCATTTTTTTTTTTTTTTTTTTTTTTTTTGCACCCATTAAAGACATTTTATTATTAATTTGGATCGATTTTATTTCCTATAACGGTGTGATTACATACAGAGAACCAGAAAACTTAAATTCTGTAATTTTTAAGCCAACCACGTTTTGTATAGGATAAAAAGCAATAACTTAAAAAAAATTAATTTAAGTTACATAGTTAACTTGATTAAATTTAATTCAAATACAAGTAAATTTTGTCTTTTTTAAAACCATTTAAAGTGGACTTTTTTAGCAGGCATATGGCCACACCAAAACATACAGCCACCACATCCCAAGACGGGCGAAGTGCGGAGAGTCACACAAGACTGGTGAATTCAAGAAACCGAAAACAGTATGTCGTACAGTATCTCGTAAGACGGGTAGGAAGGCCGAGGACGAGATGGTTGGACAGCGTGGCCTATGATGCGAGAACCCTGCTTGGTGTACGGAACTGGTGAGCTGCAGCAGAAGACAGAGCCAACTGGCGGAGGCTCTTGGAGGAGGCCCAGTCTCGGTAACGGGATGTCGTGCCACATATGATGATGATGATGAAAACAGTATGTGCTTTATGATTGGAAGAACATTCTGTAGACTTTAGGGGGGCGAAATGGGTAGGGTTACGGGAGGGCTAGAGAGGGAGATGAGTGCGGGAATCTCCTCCACTCTTTGCGGAAGTATCAAGTGATAGTTCCCTACTCACTACTTGTGAATTCCCAGTCCTCCTTATCCCTATCAACGCCTACTGCCACCTCCTCGTGGTGCCCCCCGGGGAGTCCGATGGGACTTGCGAACGGCAGAGGCGGGAATCGCCACACACTGCCGGATTGGCAGGAGTGGTGGTTCTTCTTAAGACACCCAAGCTGAGGTGGAGGCTCGAGCCGCAGGCTGAATGGCAGGGGGTGTATAAAAATACACATGCCCATCGACCAACTTGGGGCACCAGGCGACACCCCATTTTACAGTAGCCTTCTACAGGGAGAGGGGGTAGTACCTGTAGCGACCTTTTACCACCCCCATACTCTTGGGAACAAAATGTACCCAATCTATAAAAAAACTGACAAACGGACCACAATTACAGGCGATGACTCTGGCTCGGACACGGACTTACATTTGGAAATGATTGTACGTTGTGAAGAGGGGTTAGGTGGGAGCTCAGTGGGGGCATTCCTGGACCCACCTGAGGAGACTTCCAGGAGCTCGCTCGCGACACTCCTGGATGATGTCACCAGGCTCTCTGTTATTACTGAAGAGTCTGGTGGTTACGTTCCTGAAGGGGCTGGAACATCATCTGATGTAGCTGGACCCTTCAGGCATAGGCCTTCCGGAGCACAACGACAGAAGTTAAGGAAACTTAAAATGTCTGGGGAAACATCCACTCCTGCAGTGGTGGCGTCGGGATCTGAGAACCGAAACACCGCAGCGGATGGATCTTCCCCAAGCGTGGCAGTGTGCCAGGACTCTTTAGGGGCTATGGGGGCCTCAGCTTTGACTGGTTCCGGGAGGGCTGGACCTGCCATAAAAAGAGTTAGACCGTCTCCTGGGACCTCTGCGCCTATGGCCAAGAGGACCAGGAGTGGAGAGGTTAGTATGGTCTCCTATGCTCTAGCAACTGGGGGCAGCAGGGTGGCTATAATCCCATGCGGATATCCATCCATACAGCTGACCAAGGAGCAGAGCGAGGAGGTCCAAGACCAGGTAATCTACTGTGTTGATTGCCTGGAAGAGGGTGGTTTGCAACCAGAGTTCAGTGGCTTCTACCACTATCTCGGGGGTTGCGTTATCATCTGTGATGATAACGATACAAAGGATTGGCTCAATTCTATTGTGGGTACTTTTACTGTTGGGGGGGGGGGAGCATTAGGCTCCGTACCGGTGGTATAGAGGAACTCAGGAGGCCCATCAGGGTGGGTGGATTTTTTCCTGGGGCAAGGATTCCGGAGGAACAACTTATGAGAAGACTCCGGATACAAAACGGCAAGATCCCCGATGTGAAAGTATGGTCACTAATGGGGATCAAGGGTGAAGCGACTGGTTTCTCTGGTATTCTTAGGCTTCCTGAAACCCGTATTAAATTCCTTGAGGGCAGGAACATGGCAATCACATATGGAACTACCAAGGTCTACCTCAAGGTTTTCGAGAAGAAGAGACCACCAAAGCCTGACGTTGCGCAAGCCAAAGTGGTCGAGGAGAATAAGGCCCTACGAAAGGAAGAGAAGAAAGGGATGCCAACTCCCATTAAGGATACCAGGGAGGCGCAGACTGGGTTGGTCCGGGGGGAGAGCTCCGGGACTGAGTATGGCATGTCTAATGACAACTGGTGCCATGAGTACTACTCCCACTGCTGCAATGGAGGTACTTTTGAACCTTGCACCATTGCACTTGGAAATTGAGGCGCAGGCTTTTAGTACTGCTTATAGATTCGCCAAATTGGGAACTAAGGCTAAATCCCTGACACATCAGGGACATGGGTCCCTGTTTGACAAGATTGAAACGGACGAGGTGCTGTCTATGCACTCTGACTTACAACTACAGAGCTATAGGGCAGGGCACTATAGAACTAAGATTAGTAAGACTAACTCACATTCAACATACAATGGAGTTAACTGCTAAACGGACGGATTCCTGACTGAACAAGGCTCAGGGGCGGTTATTTGGAGGATGGATAGACCCAGGGAGGGAATATTCTTATCTTTAGGTAGGCATACCTCAGTCTTTCAGGCTGAGGTCCTAGCCATAAATGTCTGTGCCCAATCTCTTATTAGAGAGGGCCTTAAAGACAGACTTGTATCAATATTTACGGACAGCCAAGCTGCTATCTATGCTCTTGAAGGTTATGCAACCCGATCCAAATTGGTGGACGAATGTAAAGCTAACCTAAACATTCTCTCTACAACCAATAGGGTTGAATGGGTCCCGGGACACTCGGGAATTTTGGGCAATGAGAGGACAGACCATCTTCCTAGGAAAGGCTCCGGAAGCATCCCCACGGCACCAGAGCCGATTTGTGGCATAAGTCCTAGCTATGCCAGAAGGAGCATTAAAGCAACCGTTTGCCATAAGTTTAGGGCACATTGGAAAAACAACAAGAAACAGACACATTCAAAGCTGTTTCTTGATGGGCCCTGTCCGAAGAGAAGTGAATCACTCCTCAATATGGACAGGAAGAATCTTAGAACAGTTACGGGAATCTATACAGGACACTGTCGAGTGAATAAACATCTCCATAATCTGGGAACAATAGAAACACCAACCTGCAGATTCTGCGGGCTGGAAGATGAAACCCCTTTCCACATAATCTGTGGTTGTGATATCCTGGCTAGGACTCGGTTCCTACATTTTGGAATTGACCGAATCCCAGATCCGAAGCGTTGCGAAACAATAGACCCAATGGGTCTAATTAGGTTTGCAAAGGCCATTGGCCTTGAATGGTTTTGAAGGGGATATGGCCAGCGCACAATAGGCTAACTGAGGCCGCGGTGTAATTTTGCTGGGAAAAAAAAAAAAACCGAAAACAGTATGTGCTTTATGATTGGAAGAACATTCTGTACACTTTAGAATCTACTATTTTAGCAGGTCCTCTTCTGGGTTTAGAAATTTCTTCTGGGTTTCGGGATTAATGAAATTTATTTTTGATATTTTTTTTACACCTGACATCCCTTATAGTTAGGCCAATAATACTCAAACAGTAAATTCCATTATTGTTGAAGTAAATAAACATCAGGCGACCTCTGCATCCGAAACTTCCCCCACTCCTCCCACCTCCTCGACCTCTATGCAACGAACGTCCCAGACCAGAAGTTGGAGCGGCTCAAAAGCCCGACTTCCTTCCCTCCCCACTTCTCCTCTTTCCCCTCCTACCACTGATACTGGTTTAGCCTTTTCAAAGGTTTCTCCTTTAGGTTTAACAACTACCTCTCCAGACGACGTGATTGCCTCTATGGCTGTCGACGAATAGGGTTTTAAGTAAAAACTAATAGAAAGGCAACTAAGAAAAAGCAATGGCCTCAAATTACTCTTTTTGTGTTGAAATACATTCCACAATTCATTCCTATTTGTGCTTATACCATGTATGTTTATATTTCAATATATAGGTGTGTGTATAAGTCTTTATGGTTTGTATTTTTATGTGTATGTGGGTGCACCTATGCATTCGTGTATATGTGCACATATGCATACTTGTATTTTTTTAAATATATATTTGACGTATATATTGTTTATGCTCTTTCATGAACTTTATTTACATCATATATATTTACATTTTCTTCTATTATTTTCATTTCTATTATTTCCACTAAATTACCTATTTACTAAGTTATTTACTTTCTATTTCTATTACCATTATATTTATTATTTATCCATTTCTCTGTTGTTTGCCTTCTGTTGTTGCTTTATTCTTTATCTTATTTCAAGCGGAAAATGGATTATTTCTACAATTAAATGCCTACTACACTGCACCCATTACTATACATCTGTATATATTTTAATTATAATTTTCTTATATTATTTTTATTATCTCTCCTATTATCAATTAATCATTTGCTCGCTTACTACTTCTACTATTCCTATAACTATTATTTATTCATTCATTTATCTTTTACCTATTATTATTAATGTATTTCTTCTTCGTGCCTTTATTATTTTTACAAATAAATATTTACCATCTTACACCTATTACTCGTATGTGTTTACGTGTGGGTGTTACATATGTATAATGCCTAAATATGTCAGTTTTGCAATGGTTTAAAATCATTTTAATGATTTAAAGGTTTTAATACATGAAACAGATCCTTTTTGCTTCGCCCTTCAGGAGACCCACCTTACAACAATAAATAATTTTAATCTAGGCTAATGAAACTGACTATCAGTGTCTATCAACACACAAACCTCTGAACCATTAACAACAGCTTTGGCTATTGCCTTCATTAAACTTTGAGCAACTATACCAGCAGCAATAATAGCAGCAGTTCGTTTCTCACATGTAGTAGACCTACAAACTTTAGAATAATGACACTTTTTCGAACAACGATTACAGATAGCATCTCTCGTAGGACATTTGCTGGGAGTATTTTAATTAAAACCACAAAAATAACATTTGACAGAAGTTGCAGGTAAGGTTATTTTTTGTTCCCTAATATAATGAGATGTCTACAAAAATAAGGCTGTACAAATGTCTTATAAAGCCAATAGCAACTTACGCAAGCGACATATGGTGGCTCAACAAATTAGTTGCGCTTGAAATGAGGAGTTTTACGCTGAAAACCAAGACTTGAGTTTCTCCAACTTCACTAGGTTGCAGAGAATAAAATGGATTGATCATGTCATAAGGGTCATAAGGGTGGAAGGCTATAGGTGCCCTCTAAAAGCATACAGAAACACGCCAGATGGGACAAGACCCAGGGGAAGCCCCCAGATCACGCTGGCAGGATGTTGTCCTCACATACATAAGTCAAGCAGGAATGAGCATATCACTTGCTGCAGATAGGATTGTTTGGGGCAAAATGACCAAGCAGGCCAAAGAACGCTTCGTGCGTCTGTCGCGTCATTAAAGAAAGGAATATAATGAGATGTAGCACTCTCATTTTGTTCTCTAATACCATCAAATCTAGCTCCCTCAGCCTCTTCATTATTACTAGCAACCAGGTACTGCATTCATGAAACCAATGGGAATCTGATAAGACATTGTTTATACTCTTTCTGGTTCCATATCAAACTGACTGTTCTATCAGTATGTTCCTATAACCTTTTTCCTGTTCTCTCTCTCCATGCAAGGTCTGGATGCTAATCCGTCTACTTGTACTCCCTTATACTAAGTCAGGAGGTTGATCTTTAAGTAAGAATTTAATCCTCTCACAAAGTCAGGGGATTGGTCGCTCCATTCATGGCTTTTGAACCTTCGGAGTGTCAAGTTTGATCCCTTACTCCGCAGACCATGAGTAATTTGGGTGATGAACCGTCTAACCCTAGAGGTCATCCTGTCTAATCATCTTCCTTCATCCACTTAGTCATCTTCCCCTAAATTTAACTACGTTCTGTCGAGGCCTTCTGGTAACTGTGTTATCTGTACAATACCTTGACACTCCCCATGTTTCCCTGCGGAAGTTGAGTTTGGGTCCACATCGAATCGTTCTGGTCTGAGTAGTAGTATTTCCATTTTGCTCAATGTCTGATTATGAGTTCAATAAATTGTAATAAAATAAAGAATACCTTAAACGTAAGGTTTTATTCAACTCACAGAATACACACTATTAATGAATTATAATGTTTTCAAAACATATTTTAATTTAAATTTAGATTTTTTTATTTAACGCCTCTGCCGTTGGCTATTAGGCCATTCGGCTTCTGGCAGCTCAATGCAATTCCGACATATTTAAATTTAGATAAATTCATAATACAATTATTTACAGAATTAAGTACAATTATTTTACAAAACTTGATTTTTTTTCTTTTCTTAACCTATCATTTTAGAAAATATTTTCCTTGGAGCTATATTGTTGATATATTAATTTATATTTAACTAAATTGTTAGCTCAAAACGAGTATAATAACTATGAGCAAACAACAGCCATTATAAAGTAGAACAAACAACAATTACTAGAACTTATAACAATTTCAAATAGGTATGATGAACATTTAATCGAATAAAATGAAAAATAAATTGATTATCTATATTATAAAGTTTTTTCAACAAATTATTACAGGGTTACTAAATTAAAATGTTTTAAAACGTATGTTATCAATTGAAATTATGATAAATTGATAACAATTATGTAATCAATGAAATTGTATTACGATTACTACTCTTCCTTATGTGAAACGCACTAAGAATGTATGTATGTACCTCTATGGCTGACACATTGATACCTTGTTTTCAAACATCTGCTTGTTTGAAACAATTTTTGAAAATGTTCACAATTTGCTGGTTTTGTGGAAAGAGATTTCTGATTTATATTTAGTTGTTTAGTTGCATTTTTGTTCTTTTTCCACAACGAAACATTCTATTCTGATCTGAATCAAATAACATAATCATGTGAGTACTTATCAGTAAAGAGATGGCTTAAAGGACTTTGACAACTGTCACCACCTATCTCTATCAACAATGGGCAGTTGTCAAATTATAACATATGCCTTGAATCATTATGAAATATTTTCTGTAACTCTTATTTAGCAGTTAACAGTTAATTGTTATTATTTTCTGTATGACATTAAGTTGCACTTTTATTGGTATATAAATGGTATATTTAGTGTCAATTTAGCCTATGAGAACGATAGTTGTGTATGCCAAGTTTCCCTTATTTTATGAAAGTGAATGTTATGTATCTTTACTTAAATGTCATATGCATAAACCCATGATATTGAGATTGTCTAGAAATGATCGTAATAACAAACCAATCGTAATAGAAAAAAAGATGCTCAAGTCACATTATTCATTACCAGGATGATGTGAATTGTAATTCAATCCCATCGCATAATTAATAAGACTATGAAGTCTCACTGACCTTTTACAAATTAATATTACTTTTTGTAGAGAGGGTATTAGTTCACAAGCATCACATCTGGTTGACCCCCAATTAATTCTTTTTTAAATATTAATTATTAGGCTACTCACTGATGGTAATTTCATGTTGATGGATTGGAGTGGAGTAGTTTTCAGCTAAATCATTTCTTATTAAATCTAACTTTACTTTAATTATTTTGTTTTAGGTCTTCAATGTTTTCAGCTCTAAAAAGATTAACTGGGAGCAGTAAAATTGAGACGGCAGTTCTAACTAACAATGGAAGCAATAACCCCTCAAGTCACCAATCCATGTCACAAAACCTGCAGCGGAAATTTTCCAAGGGAATTCAATATAACAGTAAGATCCTATTTTTTTTTTCAATTGTAATATAATATTTGGTACTAATTTACAAGTGTTACTCCACTTTGATAGTTGTGCAAAAGATGTCATAATCACACTATTAATGGAATTCTGAGAATGGCTGGGGAAGTAGACAAAGGTAATCGAACCATCTGGCAAGTTCCTGACCTCAACAGGAAAGGACCCATTTGGGGTTTATTTATCCCTTTTGAGTGAGCGGAAGTTGAGAGTATAAATGCAATCAAAACTACTTTAGACTCCAATTTTAATGGAAGGACACTTGGGATTTTGTTGTAAAGTGTGATCTATATGATAGAAGGTTATTATTATACCTGGAAACAATTTAAATGTTTAAAGTTTGGTATTATGCTTAGATGGTATTTGTTGTCTCTATGGCCATGAAAACCATATGGGCTTGATTACTTATACTTTATATTTAAAAGCTAAGCACATTTAAAGATGTTTATTACTTTGGATAGGTAAAAAGATGAAAAGAAGATCCCTTTTAAAGATGAATATGATTAAATAATTGGTGTTATTGTATAATTACAGTAAGATAAATAAAATAATTAATTTTAAAAAGTCTCAGGAATGACATGATGTCCTGGATACTCGGACCTGTATGGTGCAAGTTTGATTCCCATATGTATATATTAAAGATCGACCAATACTGATATAATTATTCGGTACTAGCCAATATGCCAATATATCAGCCTTATGACTTTATTTTATCAAGATTGGTAGAGATTGACTATTTTTTATTTATTTTTTTCCTCCCCTTCCTCCGATTTTTTTTTTGTCCTCCTCTGGGGCTGATAAATCGGGCTCATAAACTTATTTTATCAAGATTGGTAAAGTTTTACTTGGAATATTAATTTTATTGCTTATGAACATTTTAATCAATCATCAAAGGATCAACATATACATAAATTTGAGCAGATACGATATTCCAAAGACTGATGTTTCAGTCATATGACATTATTTTATTGAGAGTGGTATAGTTTGAAAAAAAATTTTCTCCTCCCCTTCCTCCGAATTTTTTTATCCTCTCCTTGGACCTATATATCGGCTTTATGATCTTATTTTATTGAGATTGGTGGAGTAATTCCTATGTACATCAATCCCTGGAAGATTTATTGACTTGTTTATTTTACAAGAGAATACCTCATAGTAAGCACCTTGACAGAATGAATATAATGGCTGGTATATCGATCTTTGGTATATTTGTATTGGCTACAATTTTTATAGACATGGGATCTGGGATGAGCGGCTCCACCAGAGGTCTCAGTCTACTACAGTTTGTATACCACTGGGGACAGACATATAGGTCTGTAGTTGGAGGAATCTGCCTGACTGCATTTTTTGTGTATAGGATTATGACATTATATTCCCATTTTCTAGAAATTCTCTTCTCTTCCCAGGCTTTTTGAAAAAGTGTTTGGAGAGATCTCACTAGATCTATTTTCCCCCATAATTTAAATCCTCCAACTATATTATCTCATCCTGGAGTTTTCCCTGTCTTCATTTTTTTGATCTATTGATTTATTGCTCCAAGGGAAAAACGAAAAAAATTTGGAGGAAGGGGAGGGCAATAAAAAAAACTGTACAAACCTTGACGGAAAGGGGAAAAAAGGCCGGCATATTGGTCTTTGAAATTGGTATTGACATCAATTTCTATGTCGGTCGATCCCTGTTATATATCCTGAGTTGAGATCTTCATAGATGGGAAATTGTTCAAATGAGAATAGGGCTCATCACTAAATAAGCCTTATACTTCAAAATAATCACTTATTATGAATCCAAAAACTATCCTCAATCTGTCTTTGTATGGGTATGACCCATATACCCTACATATCATTGGGTATATGGCCTATGCCATAACCATACTTGGCAGATGTTTTTATTTTAGGTACATTTTTGAATAGCTCATTTATGGATAAAATAAATATTTATTAAAATAATAATTAACTCTGTAAAACACAAGTCTACAACAAAGGCAGGCTGATGCCTAAAATTTATTATATCAATGCCGAACTTTTTTAGGGTCTATTGTATTTTTTGGAAAATTTTAGTATTTGGAATTATCCCTTTATGTTAGTGAACACCTCAAATATAAAGTTTTACATCTAAATAGCATTACTTTCACTATTTGGTAATAAAAATTTAAATTAACATGATTAATTTGTTGTACTTTAGTAATTATTTATCCCTTACAGCATGCCTTAATTTTCTTCTTAATATTGATCATCATAATGTTATGGGGATGGTTGACCGTGGATTCTTATTTCAGAAGAAATGGGTTGGGGGTGCGGTCAATAATACTATATTATATAATAGTATATTTTATTACATTGTCCAACGTTTCGACCTACGTTGTAGGCCTCCTTCAGGCCCATACCCTTTCTCTTTAAACACAATTCAATCAACATATCCGATACCTCTTAGACTCAAAACAAATAAAATATCCTACTCACAGAAACCTAATGTCATACAACTTTGTGGCTGCCCGCCTCAATGGACTTCCAAAAATACATAAACCTGGCACCCTCCTTCATCCCATCACTTCGAATATTAATTCTCCTTCTGTAAAACTTGGTAAATTCCTACTTCGGTCATTACAAAAACTTAGTCATAACAACCCATACGATATCCACTGTTCATTTCATCTACGCGATTTGTTTTCATCCTTCAATATTCCGGACAACAATATTCTTGTCTCCTTTGATGTCAAAAGCCTATTCACCAATATCCCTATAGGAAAAGCCCTTCTCATAGTTAAAGAAAGCTAGTCAAACCTAGAACCCCATACCCCTCTCAACTGTTCCTCATTTATCCAATCACTACAACTCTGTTGTAAATCTGGCTCTCATACGTTCTCTGGACAGTTCTATAATCAAATTGCAGGACTAGCCATGAGCGACCCCCTCGCATCTGACCTATCAAACATTATCCTTAGTGATCCCAATACCACAATTCCTCAGTTTCCAAACAACATACTTTTTATCATAAAATATGTAGATGATCTCCTTCTTATCCTCAACTAACTATCATGGTGTTACAACTAGATAGATGATGAGTATTAGCCTCCTCTACTAGCTTCCTCCAGTCATCTCTGTTCAGAGCGGCCACCATCCTCCTGACTCCCAGGATATCCCTTGAATCTCTTGCCACACCGTCTGACCATCATAGTTTTGGTCTCCCTCTTCTTCTTGTGCCGTAGAGAGGTTCTGTCAGGATCACCTTAGGGATTACTTCATTCACCAATTTAGCCACATGGCCAGCTCATCTCAGTCTTCCAAGCTTCATTCTCAGAATGACATCTTGATCATTAAAAATCGAGTAAATTTCGACATTTGTCCGCCTTCTCCAATTTCCATCAATCTGTAGTCCTCCAAATATTCTTCGAAGAATTTTTCTCTCAAAGCTTAAGAGGTCTTGCTCATTTCTTTTAGCTGTCCATGTATCTGATGCATACAGCAGGACTGGCTTGGATGGCAACTATATCCAGTTTGAAATGGTCAATTTGATCATGGAGCAGTTTCAGTGCTCTGGGTCTATAGAGTAAAAGAATGTTCCAGTATCCGTGATTAAATGTCCTATAGAGGTTGCTGGGTTTTTTCCATTTGTGACAATCGATAACCGAGGCTGATTTTGGTTTCGGCGAAATATAAGCTTCAGGTAGGGGGGCTTCTAACCCTCACTCCGTACCCTAGTATACTGGTGTTGCTGCCACCTTGGTGCTTGTATACCTGCAACCCCCGTCCGAGGAGGCTTATCTAGGGGAGGTGATCCTTGGGTGTGTAATGTAAGGGACGTTAGTATATAGTGTGGGGGTGAGTGTAGTGTGCTGTAATTAGTGTAGATGTATAAGTGTCAGTGTACTATTCCCCCAACCTTGAGGGCCCGTGGTTCTTGCAGTCCTATGACCGGGCGATGGGGCTGCCACCTTCCTATGCCTGTCCTTCTTATCCTCAACCCAGATAAAATTGAGGCGGAGGTGGTAGGAGTTAAAGGCCGAAAGGATATCAGGAATTTTTTCCTCAACCCAGATAAAATTCCTGATATCCTTCCAGCCTTTAACTCCTACCAACCCCCACCTTACAGTTGAATATGAAAATAACAATTCCTTAACATTGCTATACTTCCTCATCAAAAGAAACAACAATACTTTATTCACAGATTGGTACACAAAACCGACATACTCTGGCAGACTTCTTAACTATTATTCCCAACACCCCTATCACCAAAAAATCAACGTAAAATCAAAAATCTTATATACCAGTGTTTTACCCTATCCTTCCCTACATGAAACAAATACAAGACACATCCAACAGAATTCACAGAATCCAACAGGGATACTAATAACCCCCCTCCTCCCTCTCAACACCATAAAAAAACTCATTATGACTACAAAATTCGCTCCCCCATCCCCTTCTGAGTTCTAAAAATCCACTTTTAATTCCACTATGTACATCTCCACCTTATATCCCTTCGCTTTCTGACCAGATTAAAAAGTCTTTATGTTCTTCCATCCCTAATCTATAGGTTACCTTTAAGAACCACAACAAAGTATCTAACATCTACACCCGCTTAAAAGACCCAATCGCTCTCCAACACCGATCAGATGTCATTTACCATATCCTCTGCTCCACCCCCAATTGTAACTCTTCTTATATTGGAGAAACCAAAAACTTCCTTAAAGAAGACCGTAATACCCAACATAAATATTCTATTTCATCCAAAAATCCTACTGCCTCTAAACTTTCCGAACATGCCATATCCTCTAGTCACACTTTTGGCTTAGACAATACATCCATATTAGCCAGTCACCAACCAAGACAAAAGACTCATCACAGAAGCGTCTTTATTCGATTAGAAAATCAAGCAGTCAATCAAAAGACTGACAAACAAAACCTGTCCCTCGCCTATTCTCAAATCATTAACCTATTAAAACAGCAAAAATTTATTAATAGTCGTTTCCCGCTTCCTTCACATTT